TTCTGGCTTGCAGATCTGAGCAACGTTTTACAGAGGGGACTCCCTGAGCGGCAGCTGCTGTGGGGAAGGCGGTGTCACTCACTTGCTCTGGGTCTCCCGTGGAAAACCACCGGGTGGGGAGACCCAGGATCAAACGTAAGCCAAAAGCTTCTTTCTCTCTTCGAACTGCTTGCCCACTGCCAGAGACAGGGCCTGGGGGAACCCGCCTGTGGTGACGGTCCTGGTGGGGGCCTGGACGTACAGCACCTGAGCCCGGAAAGGAGTTTCCTCAGGACCTGGCCGCGGAGGCCCCGCCTCTTCCTTGAAGTTTCACTCAGAAGGAGGCTCAATTTTGACACGTTGTTTTCAACGAAGCCGATCATCTCCAGCTCTCGGAGTGTCAGCAGCTGCTGGCGAGGGTATATGATCTGACACTTCATCAGTTCTTCCAAACAGGAGCGGTAGATTTTGAAGTTGCATTTGGACAGCTGCTGCGCAGAGACAAGAAGCATTTCCGGTTTCTGTTTCCCCCAACAGACGTCAGAGCCCACTCTGAGGAGACTGTAATGCCAATTATAGCCACTAGGGGGGAGTGTGGACCTGGCCAGAGCTAAGTCGGGGAGGAAAGCAGGTACTGGGCGTGGGTGACGGGGATCTTTGGGCTGCCAAAATGAGAGATGGAATCACAGGCCCTTCCTTGCCTTGTGTGCACACAGTGTGTCTGTGGCCGGCCTCGCTGGCTGGGCTGGTCATGGGAAAGATACATGAGGTGGTATCAGTGGGCCGTGGGAGTCTGTGCCAGGGTACAGGGTATATCTGCCCTTGCCCTGTTGTGCATGCAACAGGGGCTTAAACTGAAAGACTACGGGTGATGATGCAGACTATAGGTGGGGACCGGGATGTGGCCCTGGGCCAGCCTCCTGCCTCCTCGTGCTGCACAAGGACTGTGGGCTTCCTCGGGGCTGTTTCTCATGGACGGTCCCTGGACTTTCAGCGGCTGCCAGATGGACTTCCTGTGCTCCCCTTCCCTTCCCCGCTCCCCACAAGCCCTCACCCTTTAGCCTCTTCCTCCTCTGCCATGACAGCTCTTCCCATTATCCCCTTTTCCAGCGATTCACTTCCTTCCCACAGAAAGAATCACATTTGCACCCCCAACAATCCCTCTGGCGTCCTCCAACTCTGCAGCCTCAGGTGTCCAAAGCCTCCACCACTTTAGCTCTGCCAAGCAGAGGACCAGGAGAGGGAGATCAGGCTTGGGCTCAGTCTCACCCCAGGCCCCAAGAGCTGAAATATTGCCACCAATGCCCGCTGAGCCCAGGGGATAATTGCATCGTGATTATGCAATTGCAGGGGGCTATGTCCCCAGCTCTGCCCATCTGGGGCACAGGTAGGACAGAACCTGAGCAGAGAAATGCATAGCCATATGCTTGAATCCTTCAGGGTGTGAGAGGCTCCCCCAAATTGCATCCCTTTTTCCTACCTGAGTTCCAAACCAATTAAGAGGTAGGCAAAAAGGGGAGACAGATGGGGATCAAAATACCAGTTTTATTCTGATAAAAGCTGCAGTGGGGGTGTGCAGCTTTGATGTGGCAATAAAGGCATCACTAAAACTGAAACCTAGAATTGGGCTTATCCACATGGCCTTAGGCTGCTCCAACCAACCACCCCTCACCCCACCCCCATGCAGGCCCCCGTCCCTGTGCTTCTGAGCTTGGAGCAGCCAGCAGGACCCAGGTTCCTGCAGACAGGATGACTCCAGGGAGACCCAACAAGGGGCAGACACTCCCATTCCCCAAGGCCCCCAGTCAGAGAAGTCTCCCCTATGAGACAGGAGAGGGCAGGGAGAGACCTGGCGTGTGGCCCTGATTGGTGTGCGGCTCCTAGAAGGAGACGCTGCAGCAGGACTGAGTGCTCCCCTGAAGGTCCCAGGCTCCTGCTCTTTGCTCTCCATTTCTACCCGCTGGGGGGTAGCCAGGTTCTCCATCCTCTCGCCCCAGTGGGTGCTGTTGCTGCGCCTGCGGCTGCTTCCTGCCCTTGAACTCTCTGGTCCAGGATGCCGACTACCTTAGTCATCTCAGGGATGTATCTCTGGTCCCCACAGTGTCCCAGCTTGGGGAGTCACCCCCACTTCTGAAGTCTGAACTGAAACTGCTCTTGCTGAAGCTTACAAAACCTGTCACCTTGCCGGGTCCCCTGCCCGTGGTCCTTCCTCAATGACTGCTCTCCTGCTCCCGAGTTTTCCAGACTCCGTTAACATGAGCTACTTCTGTGACAGCAGAAACATTCCCTGTAGCCGCTGCTCCTTGCAGCCTTGGAAAATGCCCCAGGAGTTGCATTATTTCTTTCCCATCAGTCCAGCAGGATTTTAGAGGTTCACCCTGCTTCTTAATTTGATCCCGTCCCTTTCCCAATCCCAGTGGGTCTGACATTGTTGTCTGGATCAAAGAAACTGCTTTCTCCACAAAGAC